CACCTTCCTGGCAGACACAATGCAGATTTCTACAGAAGGGTTTTAAAAACAGGTCTTGGAAAATCTCTCAGATGAGAGAAAGGGGCATGGAATGGGTCACGAGGAATAATAGTATTTGAGGCAGGTCTTGGGGACGGAAAGACATCTTGTCCTAAAAAACCACATCTCCACAGCCTGCTCTGGCATTCACCTTTGGGGTAAACCCGTCTGCCCATGGCCCAAGTTCACCAACATGACTCAAAAGATAACAGTGTCTGTCCTGCTGTGGCCCCCACCCCCTGGCAGGGTCCTGCCAGCCATCCCTCCCCTGAGCACTGATGTTCCCAGCTGGTCCCTGCAGAAGAGCCAAGATGCCAACACCTGCCAGCAAACCTTGCTCCTCAGCACCACTCAGTGCCCCAGAGCCACAGCCCAACCCCACCACTGCAACACGGCCCCACAACACAAGAGCAGGCAGCCCCCTAGGGCCGGCACAGCTGCTCACACCTGTGCCACGGGCAGCTCCCTCAGGAGGTGACCCTCTCAGAGGCCATGCAACTTTCCCCCTCCCCAAAAACAGGTGCTGCTCAAACAGCTTCATTTGCTCCATCTGAGACGCCAAAGAGCTATGAGAGGCTCAGGCAATGTTTTGTACATGGATGTGGAAACCCCACTCCATGCTTGCCTCCTGTCACCTTCCCACGCTGACCAGGTCTCCCACGTTATTCCAAGGGCATCAGACAACCTTCCCCAGCTGCAAACACACATTTGTGGATTACCATGGTAAATTTCTGGAGCATAGAAGACAGGGGATCATCTCAGTACCCCGGTGACAGCACCCATGCGGTCTGCACCCACCTTGAGGGGGGGATGAGGGAAGGATGGGGGGCAACACTCCTGTCCACCCACCGGGCTGTTTGGCAGAAGAAATGGGGAGTCCCCTCTGCCAGAGTTAAGAGCCTGAATTTGGCTACCCATTTCTGTTGCTGGGAAGCTTCTAGACCTCTTCAGTTCCTAGGCAAATTCTTCATTTTATTACAGCTGCGTTTGTGGGGAGGGCCCCCATGTTACACCAGTAAGATAAATAAAGGGGCAACCAATGTCACCATTGACACATTAATTTTTACAGGCCACAGCAGTAGCGACAGAGTAATGCAGGGGTTTTTTTACATCTGCAGCCAGCAGACCTAAAAGAACACTACTGTTTCCCCTCCTGACTACAATCACTGTGAGCCTGGAGGCAGCAGGAGTTACCATGGGAGGGATGCCTACGGCGAGCAGCAGGTTATGCAAACAGTTTTATAACCTGCTGAGGGGAGGGCGGCAGGGAGGGGAACACGAACTTCCGCTCCAAATCAGACGTCAGCTTTGTTGGTTTTTTTTTTGCTCTGTACATACAGTTCTGTGCTTCCAGGACACACAGCTACTCTGGAAATTCAGCACCTGGCCTCCTGCCTGACATCAAGCAGTTAACTTTGTATGCAAGATGAGAGAGTGAACAACGTGTCCATGAGATAACACCAATGTCTTGTCATTGTACCCACTGCATCTCCCCTGCTTCGTCTTCTTACTCCTGTTCTTGTGCATGTATCACACACTTTTTGTCACTGTAAAATGATCTCTGAAGTCTGATTAGAACAATTCTCCTGTTTGTAAGGGGAAAAGCAGAGAGAGCCAAAAAAAATCTCCTGTGCTGTGTCTGACTCCTCTTCAGAGAAGAAGAGAAACAGAAAAAAAGAAATTGACAACCACAAAGCTTCTACAGAAGAAGGAATGGCAACAGGCAGCTTTGGGAAATTTTAGTTTTTACTTTGTCCTTGTATTTTTGTGGAAGATCTCTGTCCCTAAAATCCATGCCATATTAACTATGAAATCTACTGAAAAATCAAGAATGCAAAATGTGAAGCTGCAAGAACAACCAAGCACACCTAAATAATTCTCTTGGAAAACACCAGAGTGCACTACTGCGTAGTTGAGATGATTTACAACCAGACTAAGCAATATTATGGGGGTGTGAATTTGGCCTACTTCAGGAGAAATAACCTCCACACTGCAAACAGCGATTTTCTTAGGTTTGAGTATTTGATTTTAGGGAGTTTTGTGCTCCCTAACACCTGACTTCTTTAATGATTTTCTCTGCTGTCAAAACCAGGCTAAATTCAAATATGTATCAAAGGTCAGAGGGACTGAACACAAAGTTACCCAAGATGATGCATTTGACTTAATGATGAGATCTGTCATCAGAATGTACTTAACAAAATAATGTCTCCGGTTCAATTTGGCAGAAGGGCTGACCTAAGAGCATTTTTTCACTTTCAGGAGATAGAGATGCTAAGAGAGGTGTTCATTATTGAATAACCAGAACTTATAAGCTTTATTCTGTGTTTCCATTGTAAATCACAGAATAATTCAGGCCAGAATACACCTTAGGAGTTTGTAGTACAACCTCCTCCTCAAAGCAGTGAATTCTGACTATGTTGCTTAAACTTTGTCCAGTTGGTCTTGGAAAGCTAAACAGATGGAAATTCCAGAGCTGCTCTGGGGAACCCACTCCTGTGTCTATCCTCCTTAAAGAGAATGTTTTCCCTTACACCTAGTCAGAACCTTGCTTGTATCAATTTGTGACCATGACCTCTTTTTCTCCTATCACACAAGTCAGTGAAGAGCATGGCTCTATATTCTCCACAGCCTCCTCACATGTATTGAGGGGCAGCACTAGGTCCCACCCACCTCCCCAAGTCTTCTCCAGGCTGAACACAACTCATTCCCTTGATCTTTCCTCAGAGGAGCATGCTCCAGTTCTGACCATCTCAACAGCTTCCCATTACACTCACTCCAGTCTTTCTTAGATTGTAACTATGTGCGTTAAATACACATCCTTTCATACACAAGGTCTCCAAATGCTTCATATTGCTTTTCTTGGAGGCTTCCCTCATCAAAGTAGCAAATACTTGCATTGCTTCAGTGGGAACCTAAATGTGAGGATCCCAAGGCAGGTGGACACCTCACATTGCACGGAATTAACAGCAGAAGTAGCAGGTCTGGGTATCAGTGGTCTCCCCGCCTGCAGGAATCCAGACAAACATTTCTGCCTGCTGTTCCTTTGTCAGGAAAATAAAGACAAATTCAAAGACCTCCACTTGAATGGATTTCCTGAGGTACTTACATATACAGGGACTAACTGGTTTACCTAAAATGAATGAAACAGCAGTTTTCATTCACAAGGTACCAAAAGACTGCATTAAACTCACCACAAACACTTCTCAATCCAGCCTTTAAAAAATAGCACTTTCATACCCAGAAGGTAACTGAAATGTCATAACTGGTTTCTGGTGCTAAGCACAATTAAATGGTAATGTGGCTGATGCAATCACAGTGCTGTTACACTGAGGTGGAGTACTTCAGTTAACATCCAATTTTTAAACATTTTGAAAGCAAGATTATAGTTGCTGACTTGCTGATGGCATAAAGGGGAAAATTTTCTTATGGTGAACTGATGAAACCTCCTCTTTTCTCTTGCTACCAGTATGGGGGCAACCGATTCTCTCAGGCTTCTCTCAACACAAGTCATTGTCTCATTTTTGAGGTCATTAGTGTTGTAGGGGAAAACATTCATTGTACTGCAAAACATTCCCTCTGCACAGTGGATTTTGTATCAGACAAAAAAAGAGTTTTAAAATATTTAAAAGCACACCTCAAGAAAACATGCAACCTTTCCTTAACATTACAAAAATTTCTCTAATATCACTTTGATGAATTTTGCATGTCTGCAAATCTAACAATTATTTTCATGTCTATGACAAAAATAAGGGAATAGGTGTACTATTACATTTTTTTACTCACAACACAGGAGCCTGGCAATGGTAATTGAAATTACAAATGAAGATTAACCACACTGGATTCATGGCAGACAAAATTACAGCTTACATTTTATCAGCATTCAAGCTGCATTTCTGCCTTGTACATACAATTTTCTGCACTGATCCCGTGTTCATGGCTTGGTGTTCTTTCGACATATTTCAAGAGGTTTGGAGACAGAAAACTATTTCAAGTTTTTTGGTACAAGGCTCCAAGTTTAGTGATTGGACAGTCACAATCTGGAACTGTGCAGCGAGAATTACAAATCTGTGAGTAAAGCTAGAGAAGTACTTCAGTGAACACCACCTTGCAGAAACTTTGTAATGGCAAACATAGAGAACTACTAATTTCTACAGTATGAAGTTTTTCCAGTTATAGCCCTGATGCAAAGCTTACTTGGGAACAAAAGGGATCACTGTTAAATAATAATCTGAATATAAACATGTTGTAGTCTGACAACAGGCCATTAGGTCTTGTTTTGTGTTTTGATGAAATTTATGCAACTACCCAAGTTGCCAAGTGAGTCACTTTTCAGAAAATCTATTGAACCCAAAAATTAATATTACCACTAAGAGGTCCTGATAACACTGAACTCTGAAGATACATCACTGATGAACAGTTGTTTAGAAATGTAAATGTATTCTTACACTACTCTCTTATTTCTACAATCTTTTTTTCCTCACTGGCTGAAACTCATCATTGTAATATAAACCTCATAATATTGAAAATATTAATATTAATGAAAATGTGTTCACAGTGCGAAAGTAATGACTCAGACCTGTAACTTCTCTAACACATTGTACAATCTCTTAGGAAACAAGTGTCAAATACTGCGACTTTATACAAGTAGCACCAGTTAAAATCTTATGAAAGCACACAAGTATGTTTTCAAAAATTTTATTTTTATTGTTTGCACTAACTGTATCATCATTAACAGCTTTCATCTCTAACAAACTAAAGCAAATCAGCACACACAAAAACCTATGCAAGGTCAGCATTCCTAAAGCAGAACCTCCGTTATTTAAATGCACACCTGGGTGTGTAACAAGCCCAGCGACAGTTAGTTCATCCTAACATTTTAAACACAGTCGTTCCAGTTTCATGCGTTTTTCAGGGCTGTTAAAAAGTTTCATTTTAGGGGTATAAAAAGAAAACAGCTACAAGATTTATAGAGATAATTCGTTTTTAAACCAAAATTCTTATGTCTAAATTTTTAAACTACAGCAAGCACTTTTCTTCAGCTGTAATAATTTTGCTCTGCAAAAAAAAAAGAGAAAAAAAATTAGTCATTTTGCTGCATTAGGCATAAATTATCATTAGCAACCTAAACACTTGCCAGCTCATGCTGCATATACTCCCATTTCTGTCAAGTCTTTGCCAGGTTCACCCACCAGCTCCTGGCTTTCTCTCTGAGCCGAAATGGAAGTGGGTATAAAACTAATCAGTTCTGCAATGAAGGACTTTGCCTTTTGAAATCCTGGCTGAAAACCTGAGACTTACCAGGCAAGCACCTGCATGTGATCTCAACCCTACAGTAAAAGATCCACAAACCAACACAGTCCATTTGGTTTTACTCGTTTCTGCAAGTTGTTTCTGAACTAATTGTTGAAATTAAAATAGTTGATTATTAACTAGCAGTATTGATGAGTAAACTTTATCCTCTCAGTTTCTGAATGTAGTTTTAATTTGTTCTAGCAGGTGCATTTGTTATTGGATCTGATGCATTTGTTAGTTATCTTACTTCCCTGGCGTAAATCCAGAAGGCAGCAAAGAGGGAAGGAATGACAGAAAGATAAAAATTAGCCCAATTCAAGCAGTTAGAATGGAAATACTGTAGGATTAACAACAGATAGGGCAAACATCTGAGTACATACTAAAGACCTCATGGGAGGTTGTAAGGGAATCCTGAACTAATAGGCATCACTGGAAGTTTAGCCCAGCCTCTCAGAAGCCACAAAACAGGATTTGCAATGTCAGATTTTAGCAAGTGAGACTAGAATCTCCCTGTCCACATCCCTGAGAGACCCCCAAAGTAAATTTAAAACAAAACTACAATAGAATTACTGTAGGGTATAGTCTACTGTGCTTCCAGATGTGAATTTTACCTGAAGTAAGTCCTTAACCCCTAAAGATGCCAATAATGTAGGAGCAGAAACCATGCAGGGATTCCCAGCAATGTTCCCGTGCCAGTTTCATTGCTTCTGTTTCATTTTCAGACCCTTGCCCTGCTCCTCTCATAGAACTGGACATTTTCTGCACTGATTCTTCCTGGTTTGCCAGCTCTTCTGGCTCCACACCAGTAGCTATTTGCTTCATGAGAGCCTCTGGAGGAGCCTTTTGGCACATGGAGGTCTTCAATACTTCTGTGGATTCACACGCATGAGGGATCTTTCTAAGTTCCGCAGCGATCTGATTCCAGTAAATCTTTGGATTATTTCTGAAAGCACGACAGACTGATGGTTTGCCAGTGAATTCACACCAGTAGGACATGTCTTGGCCATTGCATTCAATTCTAAGTTTCATTTCCTCATCGTCCCCACTAATGCTCATTGCGCAAACGTCTTTGGTTTTAGTCCGAAATTTGATTTCTTCACCACTGCTTCTCTTCTTTGGCTTCAGCTTCTGACCCAAACCTCCCACGCCACAGATAACAACTAGGAAAAGAAGAGTAAAACTCTTCATGGTGTGAGGAGTTCACCGAGATCCCTGAGCAACACGATCCAGAAAAGTTAAATCAGTAAGTAAATGGTTGCTCACAATTTAAAGGCTTAGTGCACAAAGAAGCCTCTTTCCAGCAAAATATGGGATGTAAGGGTTGGGCTTTTTTATAAAAATAATAAATCACACTTCAGTAGGCATGTGCCCATAATTTATAGCCCGAGGGAGTGTCGAATAACCTTGGGAGTGTGAACTCCCAAGAAGGTAACAAGACAAGTCTTGTAAATGCAGTTAAATACAGAATGATAGTTGTATAACTGAGAAGCACATTCCTATTCAGGATGAACATGTCATATTTGATTTTTAACAGATATTTTCCATTCTCCAGCTGCTTTATAGCTATCTTCATGCCAGAGCTTGTAAGACCATATCAAAGAAAAAAAGATAAAGGTGCCAAAACAATCTCTGCAGCTACATCTGGATGATTATAAATGTGTTCTAGTAAAAAAGGCTGATTTGTACAACAGGTTTTCTTTGGATTTGCACAGTAAGGATGCACCTTTAGCACTTCATTTTGTCAGCACATGACATGCAGTGAGGACACATGAAAGATAAACCGTACATTCTTTGAGCCATGAAAGATTTTTACACTTGCAATACTTATGCAAGATAAGGAATAAAGCTTGAGTAAAATAAGGTATTACAGGCCTAAACATACACCAAACGTCTGGAAGTTTTATCATCATTGTCACACCATGAGTTACTTTCAGTCAACAGAGCAAGACATCAGAACTAATTTATCATGGGTCACAGCAGCAGGAAACAGACCACAAAGCATGTCAGACAGATATTTGTGCTTCATCACTTTTTACTTCTTTTTTTAAAAAAAAGGTATTTTCCTGTTCATAAAAAGTGAGCTGTAAAAATGACATAAAATAAAGGCAAGAGAACAGAAATATTTTAATGCAGTTTCTGCTGCAGTAACTAAAAGCAGAGCTAAGGAAAAATCACTGTAACTCCCTCGGCATTCAGAAGGTCATGAGGAAAAGTCTCTCCCTTGCTGTGGTAAGACACAGTACTTTTCTGGCTAATAAGACCCCCACCAAGCACTTCCTCCTAAGATATATATGCTACACCCAGCCTGACCTGACCAGCTTCTGGAAAGCGGTATTGTATTGTTTAGGTATGCAACTGTGGGGTGCTAGAAACCCTGGGGTTTAAGACTGGCCATACATAACAGAACAGAACACCATTTTCTGTACCTAGTCACTCACCAGGCAGCATTAAAGAAAATACCAAGGCAAAAACATTCATTTAACACATAAGGGCAAAGCAGAACAACAACAACAACAACAAAAGCTTCTTGGGGCAGTTGACAAGAGTCCCAGCTGCTGTGGAGAGTCCCCAGCTAATCTGGAAGTTGCCCACTTGAAGGTGGAGCCATCTGGAACATCCATTTGGGGTATCCTGAACCTTGTTCTTCCAATGTGTCATCAAGTTCCACAGGACTAAATACCATTTAACAAAGAGAACAACCTTGTTTTCTTTTCATCCCCTCTCTTAGGCTATTTTAGTAACATTTTTAGTAGAGGTCTCATCTCTGTTCTTCCCATTAGTTTCTCCTGTCTGTCTCTTTCAAGGTAGGGTGTGGCTCTCCAGCCAAACCTGGGGACAACAGTGGTACAAACCTACTTAAGACTTACAATTCACTCTTAGTTGTTTTCTAGGGAGTCTTCTTACCTTTCAGCCAGTCAGAGAGAAGAATCTCCGTGCCCACCTCACATTTAATTTCAAGGATTTCAAATCCCTATTGCAAGCACTCAAATGCCTCATAATATTTGACAAACAACTGTATTGCACTTTGTTATGCACAACAGCACTGACAGTTCTTAGGTAAGAAACTAAAGACATCTGTCTCTCTCGTTCTCATCATGGCTAGGCTTCGCGAACGAAGATTTGGGAAGGGCTCTACCCACGTTTCTTTGCAAGCGCGTTGGTGGCTAAAGAGGCCAATACGAGAAAGGCAAGACCGGTTGCAAAAAACACAGCAGAAAGACTCCTCAGATGGTATATTCTGCAAGGCTCGATTCTTTCTGCGTTGTCTTTTCAATAACTGATAAAGAGTTTAAAACAACTTAGAAGTTACTTTATAGCAGTTTCAGATCTCTTGTTCTCAAAGTTTTCAAGTTTAATTATGAAAACAAATAAATTACAAGGATAAGGATAAATACCAAAGCTTGGATTCCAGTATATTTACATATTACAGCTACTAGGTTACTGCCAAGTGTTTGTCTCACTCCCATCTGACTTTGTGTCCTCTGTCTGCCTGTGCTTCAGATGAAACAGCTCAAGGTCTCTTGTATCAGTAGAAAACAACTGTCCTTTTACAAGGTAAGCTAGAATGCCAGCAGTGAACTAAGGGAGCAGAAGAACTAGCAAATGTTTAATTCTCCTGTCAGGGCTATAGAAACAGGTTATATGGATATACTCCACAACTCATTAGCTTGAATCCTACCATCCTTGTGTAATTCAGATCCTTTGTGGAAGTTGGAAGCTCCCTCACCCAGAGTCAATGTTCTTTCAGTCCATCCTGCTCCAAAAATAAAAGTCAAATACAGCAGAAATTTTTATTAACTTTCCTAAGATTTTAACTCAGTGCAACTCTTCTGAGACAGGTCTACACAACAAAACAAGTGAGAATCAAACATCAGGTAGTTAAGCAAGTTCTTTTTTATTTAAATGAACTGGGAACATTTTCTCAAATTAAAAATAGAAACTTTTAAAAATCTGCAGTTCTGAACATTACATATACACATATGCTACATACTGTCAATTAGAAATGTTTCCATTTATGATGTAAAAATTAAAATTTAAGGTTATTCCGGATTAAAGACTTGTATCACTTTTCAAGCATTTCTTTAAAATTATAATAATGACTTACAGAATTATCCCTACTTCAACATAATGAACCTTGTTGGAAATGAAGTTGACAATACTGATATATGAAGAGATTATTTTAGATCAATATATCCAACTACTTCACCTGCCAAAATGTTTTAGACTGGTAACATACATACTTTTGGCCTTTTGATGAATTCTGTTATTAACTAACTCAGCAATGCAACTGTTTGCCTAAATTCAAGGCAATAACTCTTAGTAACACAAATGTTAACTCCATTGCTAAACATATTTGAATTTTAACATTGGAAGTCACAGTTTAAAATTATTTAGCAAGAACAGTATCACTGCCCCCAAAAGAGCCACAGTGATACCATTAAGGACGTTACAGAAGTGGGTGTCAAAGAGGAGAAGGAAGACAGAGAATGTAAAGCATTCTAAAAATTGCCAACATAGGACATCCCTCATGCTCTTTTTGAGTACTACTGAACTCTAGAAAGCTTAGCTTTTTCACAATATTATGCAACCTGCACACTCCCAACCCCCCCCAAAGTTTAAAAACAAACTTCTCCAAAAAGTTTTTTTTAGGTCTATACTGCAAAACCCACTAAATATTAAATAATTAAAAAAAAAATAGGAAGAAAACAAAACTACAACTGAACTTTTCAGATGCACAAAGAGACACAGTGGAACCCATTTAAATTCAAATTTAGTCCAATGTGGTCATTCAAGAGCACCAAATAGCAACACTGATCATGCTGGTAAATTCATTTGTGTAGAGTATTATACAATATTAAAATCTTAACTAAACACTTAGAAGTTTTAAGAAAAATGTATATACAAAAGTCTCTGTATACAAAATGTATTTTTATGTAAACGTGTATGTACTGTATTTAACACAAATCAACAATTTAAGATAAGAACTTGAACAACTGTCAGAGAATTCCTAGGCAAAGGCAGTTAATCTAATCAATTTATATACTGTGAGATGTAAGGTACAAAGCCCAGTGTAAAAAAGTAAAAAACAAAAAACATTTTTATTCAAGCCTTGAACAGTGGTATTTGAGAGGCAGTGCCCTGATCTCAAAGTATTCTGTACAGTAGTTTATGGCATAACATTCAATAGTATATTTGGGATTTACAGTACAGCTGACATAAAACAAGTGGCTCAGGATTCGTCAGATGAATGGAAATGCCAATAGACTTGGAAGAACAATGATATGCTCCCGTAGAAGAATCTTGAGCCTCATTCACATAGCCTGGAAATAACAAAAAAAAAAAATCAGGAAAATCTGATAAAAAATTGATAAAGATAGAATTTTAATGTCATTTAAACAGAATGAAGGCACAGATTTTCATATGAACCTTAATATGGTTGAAAAAGTTTTTTATTTTTAAACCTTAGAGCACCTTAGAGAGTTACAGAAATCAGAGCAGCCTTCTTAAAAATAGTAAAGTAGTAATAGACCTAGAATTGACTTAAAAAGCTTATTACTTACCCCTTAATGTTTCCAGTATGTGTTACCACTGTTCCACAGAGCTGTACAAGGAAAAAAAACAGAAACCAAACCCATCATTTTCTTTTGCCCACAAATGGAACAGAAATACTCTGTCTAACCAAGGTGAGACCAGTTCAGTTGGCACAGACTATTCTCAGTCAAGCATTTTTCAAACAAGAAGAAATAGATTCATGGTTCTCTCCATCAACCTTTCTGGTTACCTTTGTTTCATGATAGAAAGAAATGCCTGGATCACCTATTCAACACCATTCCTTTGCAAACTCAATCCAGTCTCCTGTTTTGCTCTCACAAAAGTGGTGGCTGCATTTAAGGTTATTTGTATCTTTGATATGTATATGAAAACCCCTTGTGTGAGACACACACACCTCATATAGCTCTCACTTGTACTTACATATCTTAGTGTTATAAAAATATTTGCCTCTCTTTCCAGCAAGATAATCCACCTGATTTTGAAGGCAAAAAAAAAATCCCAACCCTGTGGGATTCTTTAAACCTGCAAAAGTACAGGTGTACAGAGATCTATTCAAAGTCGTATCTCTCAAAGTATCTCCAAAAATAATTTGTAGGAAATGAAAAAAATCAAGGATAAAAGTGAAGAGTATGCTGAAATGAAAATGAAAACCAAGACTTTATTCATATGGGAATCCCATACTGAGAAATTCAAAGCATGTATGCCATAATTAGCAGTTTTTCAAATTATCTCAGTTAGCAGATCAGAAGGCAGCACTGCTTCAAACTGAATGTTTAAATTTTATTACAGAAGGCCATTTTAAGCAACTCAGAATTTAGGAAAAGGAAGTCAGGACCGAACTAGTGGATCTCTGTGTAAAACATTATTTTATGCCAGTCATTTTTAGGTTATTCGGGAACACTGAATTAAACTATTCATCAACGACTGAAATATCACAATAAAACATTATATGAACCTCAAGAGTATTAATATCCACACTAAAGATTCAAAGATCAGAAAGGGACTTCTAAGGCCTGAACAATTATTAGTTTCCTCTTATGTACAGTACTGAAAGTTCTTAAAAATAGATATGACAGTGGAGAGTACTTTAGAATTAAACACCTTGTAAGTTAATTTAGAGAGTAAGTACCCTTGAGTTGCAGAACAGACCACAAAAATTGTGATCACAAATATCACTAAAAACTCCTTCAGAATGAGATGTGGAATCAAGATGTGGTCAGTAAATAATTATTGTAAAATACAGTTTTAAATACTACTACTACTACTAATCATTATCATCATCATCAGATGCAGCCATAAAATCTGGCAAGACCCAAACTCTGAGCTCTCTTGGTATTTACCCGTTATTTAAGAGTGGTCCTATCTTCTCTGCAAATACTCAACCTATACTTTCAGTCATGAAGTTGCAAGTTAAAGCACAGTGAGCTACAGATGTCAATCATAAATTTGATCCTTCCTTATGCAACTTGCAAAGTTTGCAAAGCCAAATACTGAAGTTGCGGGACATCCTATGTTGTCCCTATGGAAACTGAAATTCTCACAACTAGCTTAAGTTTTATGACACAGTTGTTGTAGAGGCAGAAAAGAACCCAAATCTCCTCTTTTTACATGTAACTTGAACTTCTTGTTTTGTGATGTTACATTCTAGTCCTACCCATGCAGAAACAGCCATTTTCTACGTTCATGCTTTCTGCATACCTGAATCACCTGCCTTCTGCACAGGAAAAGCCCTTCTCACCATTTAAAAAATAAAATTACTCAAGAGTACAAATGCATCCCAGCCTATCACATTCAACTGCTATCAGAGTATTTTAATAGGTTTGTCACTTTAGGACACCCACTGTGCTAGCTAAATACCTAATTACATGGATTTTAAGATCAAATATAGGCAATTCCTCTGTTAAGCTGCAGGAAATTACTACAGTGTCTGCTGCTATTGTAAAGAATATTTGAGAAATATAAATCATACAGCATTTGCTATAGTGAATAATCATGCAAAAAAACAAACAGAAAACTAAATGATTCACTTTAAAGCATGCAGAAAATTGAACAGATGATTAAAAGAGTAGTTTAAGTAAGGACACATGAAGGCATGCAGTTTCAGACTTGGTTTACCTTGTAAAAACAGGATTGTGTATACCATATAAATGCTCTTTATGATAACCATTATTACCATTTTCTGTACTGTAATAAAATAAATACACCAAGAAAGACCATGTTAACTATAAGATGCACTATGTACAGTATGGCTTCTAAGACATGTACATGGGTGATGGTATGATATGCAAAGATAAACTGTGTCTGTACAATAGAATATAATTTTTCCTTTGTAACTTTCAGGAATTATGGCATAATTATAATTTTACATTTTTAAATATTTTTATATCCTCAAAAAATCAATTAATTATTTTTCTATTCTTGTTGAGTTGGATACTCTAATATAATCTATAAAGTCTGGTGAAACAGAACACGTTACCTCTTTAGAAGTAACAAGTTACATTAAAAATATAAACCCTCCCACATTAATAAA